AACATATATATATATATATATATATATATATATATATATATAATTAACGTAGTGCAAGTTTTTCTTTCGTTTTCGTAAAAAATTGAAGTTTTATAATATATTATTGTATTATTAAATAATATTCAAGATATTACGATAGATTTTAATTCGTTATATAGTTAACAAGTAAAATTCTTATTAATTGTACTATCATACATGAAATGAAATTTTCATTCATTGAATTGTTTTGAATAAAATTTTCACTTATCTCTTCAATAATTCATTATACAATAATGTAAATCTTTTACGACACGGCATTTTTATCTCTATTCAATAATTCAATGTACAATGACGCGAATAGATTTTTTTCCAATATTACGAAAAACTAGTTGTTAATACTAAAAACTAATTACTAAATTTGAAAAATTAGCAGTTCGTAATCTCATAGGAAAAGATAAAATAAAAAAAAAAATAAAAAAGATAAAATAATATATTGAATTATATAAAACGGTCAAGAAATTCACTAGATACCTAGGGATTACTAGGGATCTCAAATTACTTTTTCATTATAACTCATCACGAGATCTCGATGACATTAAAGAAGAAAATTTAAGAATAGATTCGTTGAATATGTATTTTCGTTTTTTAGAGGATGCTACACGTACAATCCAGACTTCCTCAACGGTCAATGCATAAGTGGTGGAGACGCAACGGTCGAGATTCCTTGTAAAGGAAGAAGAAGAAGACGAGGACGTTCAAGAAGAAGAGGACGAAGACGTAGAACTGGAAGATCTCGCCGTAGATCTCGTCGTAGAAAAATCTCGCGAAGAAGAAGATCTTCCTCGAGGCGTAGACGACGTGGAAGGAGGAGAAGAAGGGAAGAATTTCCGAAGGAAATCGATGGGCTGGACTTGACCAAACAACCGACGAAAAGCAGCAGCCTCTTAACGAAAGACAGTCCACAAAGCAACCATTCGATCTCTGAAAATTCTGAAGGAAAGCAAGAATAACCCTCCAACAAGATATCCATTCTCTCTCCATTTTACGATCGATTCAAGGTGCAAAGATTGACTCAAGAAGAAGAATATAGATGCAAGTATAAAATGCATATACAATATTTGCTTGAATCCATTTAAATGCATTTCCCTGTTTAAACACTTTTTTATTGGAATATGAAATTTTATTTTCTTATAGAATATTAAATATGTAAAAACGTATGTTTATAACATACTCCTTGAAAACTTGCATAATATTACACATTAATGCGATCTTTGATGACATTAAATTTCTTTTTACAGTATAATGAAAATATTTTGAATTCATCGACGGAGAAGACGAATTAAATAGAAATTCTAAGAAGATGAAATATCGATCATGCATACAAATTTTGATAAATATACTTTATTTTGTAATTTTTTTTTTTCTTCCTAATCTTTTCACACATACAAATTGAAAATTGATTTTTTAGTTCTCAATCTATCTTTTGAAGAATAATAGGGTATAAATTTTTAAGATTTTAAGATACATAGAATCAAATATTATTTAAGTATAAATAATATTAAAAAATTTTCATTCTAAAAATTATCGTGTATCAAATTGAAAATAAATTTCCATGTTTTTATACAAGAAACATTATACTTTGAAAAATAAAAAAAATCCAATAACTATCTTTTCTCAAAATTTCATTTTATAAACCATAGTGATATAAAAAGTTAAATAAATTATCAAAATTTTTATTTTATCAAATATAATAGCTTTTTATACGTACGTATCTATATATGAACGTAGAAATGGAGTCATTTAAATTAAAAAATCCTGATAACAATTGATAATAATTGAAATAATAAAATGTTCAATGTTTTTACGTATAAATTATTAATATATGCGAAAAAATAAAAAAAAAAAAAAGAACAAATAGAAAACGCCAACAATATTAAAAGCAGTGGCCGTCTCTCAGCAATGACGGCCCTGCTCACGGCCTTGTTGTCTAATGATAGTCTTGCTAATGATGCGTTCGCACACGCACACGTATAGTGGTAACGAGAGACTATTTTACCTACCAGTCATCTATGGTTGGGCATCGTTCAAGCCAGAAACATTTAACAATAAGTAAATATATGTATACACAATGTGTATATTTGACTATCGAATAATTTACACCGGCCAACATCAGTCTTTGTTTCTTCAAAAAGTTTCTGTCTTATTTATTTTGGAGAGAGTTCAAATCGCAATCATTCAACATTAAAAGTTTACTGCAATTTTTTGTTAAAATATTTCACGATGATAATGATACTAATTAAAAATTATTTGAATTGCAGATCACTCGATTTTAAGTAAAAATTAAAAGTGGAAAGTGAAAATTAATAGTCTGTAACACACGAAGTTCTTCTACGTTTGAATAGAAAGAAAAAAAAAAAAAAAGAAAAATAACTTTCTTAGATTCTTCGTTAAAAAAAAAAATAAATGGAGTGGATCTGGTGATCAATTTTAATCCGTTCAGTCAATAATTATTAAATTTAATTATTTCATAATTGATTTCCTAAACCGATTACTAATCACTTGACTAAATAACAGGTTACCTAGAGACAAAAAAAGTCCTTCAAGTTGATTGAGTATGAATACATTGAATTTAAAGCATCGCGAGATATGTAAGATATTTATTTTTTAAATTGATACGGCAAAGAATAAAGAAAAAATGAAAAATAAATAAAGGATCTTAGTCTTCATGAACCTTTATAACTAAGAAACAATACGTCTCTAAAGACCGGAGGAGAAAAACTTGGTAAGTCACGTTTTCTAATTTTTACAAGAAAGTAGTTTTAAAATTGGACTTTATTTCCTTGTATATTTTCTTTTTTTCAGTTGTGACCCCCTTTTACAATGTTCAATAAAATGATGTTCAACGTATTCAATACGCTATGTTCAGTAATAACTCACGCCATTGTCTCAACTAACGAGAGAATCATCTTTGACAATATTAAAATAACATAACAAATAAAGTAATAATATAATATTGAATAAAAATTGGCAGCACCACTCCCTCGAAAAATACAACTCGCAACTCTCTCTTACAGATCACGACTTCGATTTCAAAATCAATAAAAATGGCTTATTAGTTTTTTTTTTTTTTTTTTTGCCTATGGTTTTCAATTTTCAATAGAAATCGATCGAGTAGAAACCAATGGATGAACATAAATTCCACTATCGTAAGAATGGTAGCGAGCGTTACACGACGCATGAATAAACGAATAATCATACGTATACACCGATAACAGTATCTCGAATAAAATCGTCAGTCGCATAATTACTCGAGAGGCACAGCCAAGATAAAGCGGCTTGTTAAGAAACGTAACGAGCAGGTAACGTTAGACCCGGTGCACGCTATTGTGAGACGAACCGTGATTTACGATCGTGTAAGAGCATTCGGATAACTTCACCACGAGGAAACACGACCCTATCTCCTTTGCAGTCGATACCTTAGTTCGGATATACAAGAATATGCAGGATATTTCCGTAGCCAGATTAGGAAGGGTTTAAGCCTCTAAATACATATATAGATATACGGAAAAGTTGACAATAATAAACTTCATAAAGTCGTCGCGGTTAAAATTATTGTGTATTTCGTTGCTGAAACGTCACCATGGAAATATGTCCTCTTGTTTCCTTCGACTCCAATCTAAAGCGATTTTATGAATGATTTACGATTTCAATATTTTAAATTCAAAATTGTGAACAATTCGGGATTTGTGAATGACTTTCGGCATTGTCTTCGTGTCTCTCTTGACGCTATTAATGTCGTCATTGTAATATTCCTTTGGCTTTTGCACACAAAATACTACTATTTTATTTTAAAATAATATTAGAAATAACTTGATAATAATTTTAGAAGTTGTTTTTGAATAATTTATAATTTCGATATTTCAAATTCAAAATTGTTACGTCATTAATTGTGTCGAAATATTATCCCCTTTTTACAACAATTTTAGAACAATGTTGTTGAAGATTGAATTTAATAAATAGGAAGAACGATCCAATTTTTTTTTTTATCAAAGCTTCCTTGGAAATTAATGATAAAAATTGTCAATTTCAAAAAGATTTATAGATATTTTTGAAATAATTTCAAAATCAAGGAAATGATGAATTAAATCCTCTCTACTTTTGCATAAAATTGCAAATTATACTTTAATCTCAACAAAATTTTATGAAAGAATATGATTTGGTTTTTTTCAATAATTGCAAAGACAAAAAATCTAAAACCAAACCAATTTGATTTGGTTTGTTAGTTCTAGCGTTAAAGAGTTAAGAGAGTTAATCAGATTCATCCAGAGCCTTTCTTTATTACTTCTTTCTATTTTTCTCTCAAGTAACACTTTCAAAGTTGTTTTATAGTACCGGTCGTTTCACTACCACTTTGGTCACTTTCTCCAAAATCGATCCCACTATTTAACTGCTGTAAACGTGCTTGAGAATATCCTTCCGGTTCTCACAACTTTTGCACAATAGAAGGTTTTAAGAATAAGATAGAACGATACATAAAAAGATGCGAGTGCAAGATTAAAACGTTATTGCATTACGAAATAAACTAATAAAGAATAATTTTTTTTTTTTACAGAAATTAGATAAAATGATTCAAATTTTATAAATAAATTAATTAATAAAATATCGTTCAATATATTTCAAAAAAATAATTCTTCAAAATATATTCGTCAAATTAATTACAAAGTTTATATATCTTGCGATTAATCAATTAAATCAATCGACATCGAATCATCTAGAATAATTCACTGCAAAATTTCGTCCTAAAGATATCCAACCAAAAAAAAGAAAGAAAAAAAAAGGAAAAGAAAGAAGAAAAATTAAAAAAGAAACTTACTTCGCATAAACCAAAAAGAACGAGATTAAAAAAAAAAAATTGTCGAGACGTTGGAGCGCAATTTATCTGCGATTGTTCCCGCGAAAAATCGGTAGTGGAGTACGATGACTTCGAATAGGAACAAATCCGATGGATAGCGCGGGTTTCGATTCTGTCCAACTCGGCGGGAATAATATTCGATTTGGAATCGGGCCAGCGGTAAAAAGCAGATTTCGAGTATGCGGATCGATGATATTTCACCTGCATATTCGCGTTACCATGCGAAATACGCGAGGGCACGTGGTGTGCTTCGGTTCGCCCGTCACGTGTTCGCTCTATGCGTAACTCATCCAATATTTCTAATTTCCGCGTGTGTTACGTTTAAGGTCCAGAGAAATCGGCGTGCAAAACTCGTGAGTCCACGCTTGTCTATCTATAGTACCGGCCGTATTCTGTCGCGTGATGCAACTTTATAAGCACGAGGTCCTTCGAAATAGTTCGGATAGCGCGGCGGAACAGTAACAGAAGCAAACATCATCCCTCTTTTCCAAACTTCGTATAACGAATTTTTCGAAATATCTACAATATGATAAGATTATCGGTAGCATAGAATAGAAGAAATGTTTGAGACAGATATAATTTTTCGATAAATATTTCATGTTTAAAGGAATAGAGTTTCTCGAGTATTTTATAACATATCTTGAGGCTTAAAAAATAGTAACTAAGATATTTTGACTAAGAAGAAGGAAATAATTAATCAAATTAATTTAATTACAATTAATAATTAAGTTAATTATTATGTGAATTTTTCAGACGTGGAAAAATGAAGAGAAAAACAAGATTGAGAAAATTATTGTATTAAAAGATATTGTAAGATGAACGAACGAAATAACGATAACAAAAAATCAAAAAAATTAATACATACGTACCTATTTTGTACCATTGGATCCCTTATTTAACTTTACGAACGATTGTATATAACTGAAGTAAAAACTTCAATAAGTGTCCCGGACTTTTTTCTTTCAGATTTTTTGAAAGAACACTAAAAAAAAGAAACAGACTTAAATGTAAATGCATCGAATTTGATGCGGGCGAAAAGTCGAGAGAAGAAGAAAAAAAAAAAAAAAAAAAAAAAAGAATTGAAAATCCAAAAGATTCTGCAACTTTATGCCGCATCCGCAACAACCTTGACGTGGAAGCCTTATTTTACATCGAGACACACGATGTAAAGGCTTCGTGACACCGTACACTTGTATGATTCGTTCAATTACATTAACTGTCTGTTTAAACCATGACACACAAAAATAGGAAACCGAAACGTATAGAAATCAAACAGAGAAGTTTGAACAATGACAGAATACTCTTTGCTCCAATGGAAATACCGATCAAACGCTTGAAAATTCTATAAGAAAAATTACTTCGTTTAATGCCTGGACAAATACTACTTATACGAGAAATCAAATGTAAATATTTATTCATTTTTTATTTAATTGAAATGCAAAACAGAAAATGATTATGCTTCATCTATTCCCATTATTTATTTCTTAAACACTGGAAATAAATTAAAAGTTTTTATATGTTATTTTATACATATAATAGTGGTATGATTTATAATAGATTAAGTGTGGTAATATTAAATAACATCTATCACAGTATTTCAATGAAATACTCGTTTCAAAATATCATTTGTTATATTGTATATTGGTATTAAAAAATATATTTGAAATATTATCTTTCTATTTAATTACTATACTATTTCGAAGAAAAAATTAATTTACAAAATGAATGAAGGAAACAGAAAAAGAAAAAAAAAAAATAATTTATTCTTCATTTCAAAATATATTTTCAGAAATAAGAGAGATAGAGAAATAAATATATTTGATGATGAAAGATTTCGTTTCTCTGAAGCTACTCATCTCGATCAAGATCTACGGATCCTTACACGGCCTCGTTTTTAGTTTTAAATCACACACGAGCGTCTCTAAATTACTGTCACCATTATCTTATCGTGCAGTCCCTTTTACAGAATCGTAAATACTAGTTGCACAGCGTACGAGAGGAACGGCCACGTGTCCCGACGTGTCGTCGCTGTAAATTATTCAAAACCGGCACAATAATGAGTAAGCAACTTATGAGTAGATAAGCCTCGCCTTGCCACTTATTACCATACCTCGACGATGCTAACAAGTAGCGAGCAAACCTTGCTTCGAGAAACTCAATTTTTTTCCTTTTCCCAATACTTTACCACACTTTACATCTACCATAATTCCTTCACTTACGAATAAACCAGTGTATATTTACTTTTTAAAAACACTTATTTTGTGCAACATGTAAGTAAATATTATATTTTTTCAATCATTTTTTTTTTTTTTCACTCCTTCAATTCCGAGTCTGAAAGCAATATTTAAATTGAATTTCTATATTTGAGTCGTCTTGTATTTTTATTAGCGATTTTAATTGAATAATACTGTTTCCATACATTTTATCAATTGATATTCCCATAAGATTTTAAAAATCCGCGATAAAAATATAAGGAATAGAAAAAAAATTGTGACTTGGTTAGAGTTGTTCAAGATGATTTCAAGGTCAAATAAATGGCAGCACAATCTCCGTGTCTCTCGCAATAATAAATTTTATCTATAAATATTTTTCCAAATTTTTTTCTCAATTAATATTTAATTTTTTAAGTAGCTTCTTTTTTTAGATTTCTATAATATTCTAAATTATTATATCGATAACATAAATATATATATCTATGTTTTAGGAAAAAATCTTTTTCTATTTCTATTTCTCCAGTCATCATCAAATATCTACAGGATATCTACAATATCTATATTTCCATCAATCTAATCTAACGCATTAAGAAAATCCTAATTAATTTATCTCTAATTTATCAAATAATCATCAACCATCCATTAATCTCATTATAAAGCACAAGCATAATCGCTCTTCAAAAAGGTTCAACCCAATTCTAATCCAATAACGTGTGAAAAGAAAGTTGCACATCCATATACGCTTCGAGACGGACCTTGCTCCAACACCGACCAAGGTTCTGATCGATAAAACGGAAGCAACGGGACGTACACGAGACCAAAGGAGCACCGCCAAGGGCGCGGAAGACTCGGGGACCGATCAGGGATCAGGATAGATGAAGATATCCGGAGGATGGTGTTTCGCGTCGCGACGAGGTC